AACTTTGATAGCATACATCTGTCTTGGCTCTTACCATCAATTGTGCTCCCACTGTTCCATGAAGTCAGAACATTAGCTTCGAATTGTGTCTTTGTTGTATGCTTGAAACAATTATGACATGTGTTATCTGTGCATTGGACACTTCGATCTGTTCATGAATAGTAACACTTTACCAAGAACTCTTTGTGCTGACGTGACAAATGGACACAAAATTCGGTTCAATTTTATTAACAAAACATTCCTAGTAAAAGTACAACGTGAGCATTTCCTAAATTTCCACAATATTTAACCTCTATGTATCTCTATCCTTCTGAGGGTGGCACGGTGACTCAGTGGTTAGCACTGCTGCCTTACAGCGCCATGGACCCAGGTTTGATTCCACCCTCAGGTGACGGGCTGTGGGGAGTTTTCACATTCTCCCCGTGTCTGTACAGGTTTCCTCTGGGTGCTCTGGCTTTCTTCTAGAGCCCAAAGATGGGCAGGCTAGATGGATTGACCATGATAAATTGCTCGTAGTATTCAGGGATATGTAGATTAGGTGGATTATAGGGGGATGGATCTGGGTGGAATGCGCTGAGGGTTGGTGTGGACTTGTTGGGCTGAAAGGGCTGTTTCCACACTGTAGGGATTCTATGAATAATAGTGACAATGATCCACGTATTGATCTGGGAGACAGGAATCCCATTCCTCTCATTTGTAAGGCTGAATCTTTTCCACAAATGTTGCTCTCATAGGTCTGGGCAGATCATCTGCAGAGTCCTCTTGGGTTGCCACGTTGTCTACTTAAACGAGTCTGAGTGTTCTCTGTGAGTCTTCTCTGAGGGAATGGCTTCCAGGTTTATGCATTTATATCCTGCAATCAAAAGTTTTCCAATACACAGCCCTCGGTTTGGTTGTAACTCGTTAATGCTGAAACTTTGTGAACTCATTGACCTTTATTTCCACTATTGTCTGTAGCCAACAGCTGCTGTTTAAATTAACTTGTCAAACTTTCTGTCAGGCTCGACTTTTTGCTTTGGGTCATTTTATAATGTCTAGTTTTTGGCCTGTGATCATTTGACAACTGTCCCTCCTGTTGATCTCTTGAAGCATCCAGTGAGAATTGGATCATTGTTTCAGACCATGCTCTCGGCAGGCGTGAATCAAGTCTCAGATGTAAAGACCAAGTGCCTGAGAATCTGGGGTCCCAACTGTACATAATCAACAATACCCAATACACTAAGCATCTTCCTTTATCACATCAATAAGCTGAACATGACGAAATATAAATAACCATGCATACATTGATAATTAGCCACTCTTTACATGCACTGTCTCTCTCTCAAGCCTCTTTATCCATTCACAGCACTTGACAGAGCAAAAGTCATACTGTGCAACTCTTTAAATTGTGTTTTTGTGACACAGTCCAGTTTTATTAATATCTCGGCTTCAAGTGCAGGAGCATCGAGTCCATAGTTAGCTTCTGTATGTGATTATTCTACCACCGGATGAAATAAACCATGAGGATGGTGAGGTAGGCCAAAGTAAAAGTAATGTACGATGCAGGCACGTGTGATCGGCGACAGACCATGAATCAAACTGTACTTTTAAGACCCAGTCCCAGAAGTCATCCCATGAGTTAGTCACTTCGATTTCTCTGCTACACTTTTGAATTTCTCTGTCTGATGAATAACAGTAGTAGAAACTTTATGTATATTTTTCAAGTGTGTCAAGACCTGCCATAAGTTTCCAGGTAGGAATTTGATGCCAGTGTTGCATTACTTTGTAAAGTTTGTCTGAGATTGCTACTGACAAAAATAAAGATTTCACTCCACTTTTGGATGTCAGTGAGCTTGATTTAGCCTACCCTTGCAGGTGGCCTAATACAAATGGTGGTGTGTTTTATGTTGCATGTGAAATTCCGATAGTGGTGGTGTTTCAAGACTTTGTGATGCAATATTCTCACTTCCCCTCTCTAGGCTAAACTGGTGATGCTGGCCTCTGAATCTCTACAGTTCAATTTAGACCAGTGTTTTCCAGGAAAAAAAAACTGCACAAAGCATTTTCAGTTGAATATATTAGTGGGAGCACAAAATTACTTCTTTTGTCTACCAAAATTTATCCAGAGGTTTACCTACAAGACCTCTCTTTTTCTCAAAAACACAGTGAAGAGTGTAGTCATATGACAATAATACTCCATTCCAGAAAATTCCTGACATTTTCCATTTCACAGACAAATAACCCACTGGGATTGGACGTTGTGATTGTGATCCTGAGTAGCATCCCCCGGGCCTTTCCTCGGATCCCCATACAACCGTCATTAAACTAAATCTTAGTCAGTTGCTGTGAATGACAATTTGGAATATCAGGGTGTTTCATTGCAACAATTGCATTTACTCATCATTGTCAACTGTCCTTGCTTAGCCTGTTCAAAATTTGATTATCCACTAGCCATAGATACTGCCCAGATTGCTTACGACATTTCTTAAATAATGGCACCAAATTAGTCACTCCCCAATTTTCCAGCACATCACCCATGGCCATCGATTTTACAAATACCTCAACAAGGGGGCCAGCAATCACTTCTCTAGCATTCCACAAAGTTCTGGGATACAGCTGATCAGGTCCCAATGATTTATCTGCCTTTCTGCATTTTAAGTCGTCCAGCACTTTTTCCTTTATAATATAGGAACTTTTCAACATATTATTATTTATTTCTATAATTTCTCTTCTTCACAGTAAATACTGACATGAAATACACGTTTATTATTTCACCCATTTCTTGTGGTTCCACAGATATACCCGATTGGGTCCCGAAGTTTTATCCATCTTTATGTGTTTTAAGTCGTCCAGTAGTTTCTCCTTTATAATATGGGCATATTTCAAGATATCATTATTGATTTATCCAAGTTCTCTAGCTTCCACATCCTTCTTCACAGTAAATACTGACGTGAAGTACTTGTTTAGTATCTCACCCATCTTCTGTGATTCCACACATGTATGGTTTTGTTGAACTTTGAGGCGCCCTATTCCCTCCTTCGTTACTCTTTTGGCCTTAATGTATTTGTAGAATCTCCTTAACTCTATTGACCAAAGCTTCTAATGGCCCCTTTTTGCACTCCTGATTTCCCTCTTGAGTATACTCCTACTGCCGTTATATTTCGTGAGGTTTGAGGAACCTAATTTCTTTGTATACTTGGGTGACGTGGAGAGTGAAAAATACTTTATATGAAGTGTTAGCGACAAGAAAGCAGAGTACAAGTTGATTACTGCTGTACGAGAGGCTCCAGTGCAGGAACTCGTAACGTTTGTAAAAGATTGCCGATAGAAGGCAAATCAGTTGGAAAGCAGTTATGAGATAATGATCCCTGTTACCTTCAAATTTCATTAGTTTTTACTTCTATTATTTAATCAAAATTGCTGGAAAACCTCTGTATATCTGGCACCACCTGGCACCAACATTTCGGGTCCAGGGACCCTTCTTCAGAACTGATTTTAGCTTGGAAAAGTTTGGAATATAATCTGAATGCAGGAAGGTGGAGGAAGAGGGGTGGAATAAATAGGTGGAGATTGAGCCCACAGAGAGAGAACAGCAGCAGGGCAGAAAAAGGAATTCGTAGTCGTCACCCTGGGAGAATCATTAGCTATTGGGGATGATTATTAGCTGATAATGGCATGGTTGTAGTCACAGTACATGTGATGGAAAGGCCTAGTTTGTGAGTGTTGGGATAAGCAAATGAGAAAAAGTGCTCAGGTCCTAAAATTATTGACTCAACAACACAAATTGCTGGAAAAATACAGCAGGTCTGGCTGCATCCCTGGAGCGAAGCAGAGTTAAAGTTTTGGTCCAGTGAAACTTCTTCAAAAATGATGCCAGCTAGTAAAAGGTTGATTCTTATGCGGAAGATGGGTTGAGTGGAAGAGGAGGAGTAAGCAACAGTTGGAGAAAGTTCCCACGAGAGAGAGACGATTGAATAAAAGACTGGGTAAAGGTCAGCCTTGAAGAATGAATACCCGCCAATCGTGACTATTAGTAACTGACAATGGGCTGTGTGTGATGAAAAGGCCTGGTGTGTGAAAGTTGAGGTAAGGGCACGGGTGATGCTGCTCAAGTCCTAAAACTGTTGAACTCGATATTGAGTGCAGAAGGCTGCAAGAGTTTGCACGATGTAAACGAGCTGCTGATGTTCCGGCTTGCGCTGAGCTTTGCTGGAGCACTGCAGCAAGCCTGTATGTTCCCAAACAACAATCTTTGCGAGAACAGTGCTAGATTTTGCTTTTAAAATTTGAATATATGCAAAGGCAGTGTTTCGAGAGCCTTCTGAGGAATGACTATTCAACAGACTAACCTCCTGAGACAGAGAGAAAAAGACACTTTTCATCATACTCTTAAATTGAGGACGCTTTTTAAAAAAGTTTGTATCTTCCTTCAGGACTGCGTGATATTTTTGTCATAAATGTATAGTTTTAAGCGTCATATTTAACAATATTAACTCATGTAAAATGTTGGATGCATGTTTTATGCAATTTGGGATCTAATGGTAAAGGATGGGAGACTGAAGGTTAATTTAAAGTAAATTGTAATGGAAGGAAGCGACAAAACATTTTTCACCAAGAGATGTTTAGCTGTGGTATTTCTTTGCACTTTTTTAAATGCAAAAATATTACAACATACAAGATTAGAGTGGCTAGGGAGACGATTGGTAAAGTGAGTTTGGAGACCTGGGAGTACTGTGACAAACGTAATTCAGATTTTTTCCGGTTCTGGTGGAGCATAAATGTTGACGTGGACTACTTGCTATCAGGGGCGTGTTACTTTCTTGGATCGTATATGTTTTCTATTCATCAAGAGTTATTATAACACAGTAAACACCTGATCTGAGTGTTCAAAAGACCGTGACTCGTGTCAACTACTGCCTAATTAGCTCACCGGAGATTCCAGTCAGATATAAATGAAAGATGGGATTGAAGATTCCACCGCCTTTTCAATCGGAATTACCGCCATCAGCATCATTTGGAGGATGAATTCATCAATACTGATGCAGATTGAAGCCGTGTACTATCCTATTCTCGCAATCGTTGGTGTGCCTGGTAAGCCATTACAATCAGTTGTCAATCTGACTGAATATTTAACCAATTGATAACTTTCGTTTCTAGTTTGATCTGTTTGCAAACAAATGCTTTATTTTTAAGAAACTGCATAATTACCTCCATCTTTGTATACTTTTTAAATGATTATTCTCCATCCTGGGTTAATATTTAAAAGATGGAAATTGTTCCCCTGGAGTAGACATTGTAGTCCTAGAAGGACACTGTTAAGTGGTAAGTTTTAGGATTTTGATGCAGTCATCACAGAATCCTCACAGTGTGGATACAGACACTTCATCCCAAGAAGTCCACACCAACCTGTCGAAGGGCATCCCACCCATGCCCATTCCCTACATTTTCCATGGCTAACACACCTAAACTACACATCCCTGAACATTATGGGTAACTTAGCATGGCCATGCTACCGAGCCTGCATATCATTGGACTGTGGGAGGAAACCAGAGCACCCAGCAGAAACCCAAGCTGACACAGGGAGAATGTGCAGCCTCCACATAGACAGTCACCTGACAGTGGAATTGAACCCGGTTTCCTGATGCTGTGAGGCAGCAGGGCTAACCACTAAGCCACCAGGCCCAGTCTGGATAGATATATTATGTGTTTTGAGTTCCAAATGAGGATGATGTGCAATTTGAAACAAAGGCTTGATGATGTCAGTCTGTATACCTGCTCCCCTTGTGAGGTTAGTGGATCAGAGACAATGGATTTCGGTGATGAAGCAGCGTGAAACTTTGTGAAATATTTCAGTTACTCCTGTGGATAGTAAACACTGAACGCTACAGCACCAGTGATGGATGATCACTGATCACAGGTGATGAACAAACAATATAGGCAAGACTAGGAAAGAGGACCTGTTCAGAGATTATCAGGAGCTAGAAACCAAATTAAAGAACATGTCCTCAAGGGTTATAATCTCCGGATTACTGCCTGAGCCACACACTAATTGGCATAGGGACATGAGAATAAGGAAAGTAAACACATGGCTAAAAGAGTGGTGCGGGAAAGAGGGTTTACTTTTCATGGGGCACTGGCATCAGTGTTGGAACAGGAAGGATCTGTACCGTTGGGACGATCTCCACCTGAATCAAGCTGGGACCAATGTTCCAGCGAAAAGGGTAAATAGGCTGATCAACAGGATTTTAAACTATAAAGTGGAGGGGAAGAGAATGGTGAAGCTTGCCCCAGTGGGAAACAAAGCAGCAGGTTAACATCTGTAGTGGTGGATTCAACTAAGTGGAAAAATATGAAAGAAAATGCCAGGGAAGGAGAATTCAGGAGAGGTTATTAAAGTCTCCAGCACAGACACAAATAGGACAGAGTGTTTTGAAAAGGTTAGCAATCAAACACCGGACAAACAAATGAAAATTAGAGGAGGGAGGGTTAATACATGACTGAAGGTGTTATATCTGAATGCACGCAGTATAAGGAATAAGGTAAAAGAGCTTGAGGCGCAAATGGAAACTGGCAGGTAGGACGTGGTAGGCATCACGGACACGTGGCTGCAAGGGGATCAAGATTGGGAACTGAATACCCAAGGATATTCATCCTATTGAAAAGATAGGCAGGTGGGTCAAGCGGGTGCGGTTGCCTTATTTTTGAGAAATGAAATTAAATCAATAGGAAGAAATGAAGTAGGGTCAGATGGTGTAGAAACTGTGTGGGTAGAATTAAGAAACCTCAAAGGTTAAAAAAAAACATAGTTGGGGTTATGTACAGGCCTCCAAACAGTAGTCAGGAGCTGGGGTGCAAGATACACCAGGAGATAGAAAAGGTGTGTAAGAAAGGCAAAGTAACAGTGATCACGGGGGATTTCAATATGCAGGTGGACTGGGAAAATCATGTTGGTAGTGGATTGTGGAAAAGGAGTTTGTGGAATGTCTACGAGATGGCTTTTTGGAGCAGCTCATGGTGGAGCCCACAATGGAATGGGCAATACTGGATTTAGTGTTGTGCAATGAGGCAGACTTGATAAGGGAGCTTAAGGCAAAGGAACCCTTAGGAGGCAGTGATCATAAGATGATAGAATTTACTCTGCAATTTGAGAGGGAGAAGATAGAATCAGAGGTAATGGTATTACAGATGAATAAAGGCAACTACAGAGGTATGAGGGAGGAACTGGGCAGAATTGACTGGAAGAGGAGCCTAGCAGGAAAGACAGTATTCACCAAACACAAGATCCTTTAATTCAGAAGAGGCAGTAGAAGTAGCACACTTAAATTGATGAGCAAATTATTTTTATTAGTATTTTATGCTTTCCATTATTTCTGTTCCACATGATTTATCATTAGTGCCACAGCAAAGCTAGCTTCTCATTATCATTGACAGTGACTCATGTAAGTTATCACAATTACCATCATTACAGGCCCAAAGGACTTCACCATGGAAATGGCCCATCTGATATGTTACCGTTTTCAGGTTTATAAGATTGTAATATTATGGGACTGTGTAATTAATTTACATCTGAATGAAAGAGATTGTTGTACCATTGAAGGGTACATTACAAAAACTTGGATGAAATTACTGTTGAAAACTCAAGGAGGGCTCAGCTTATTTTGTCATTAGGCATGTGTAAGATGTTCAGACAAGAATGCACTAGTATCAAAATAACAAATGCGTTTCCAGTGCTGTTTGAGCGCTGTCATGTTCTAAATGGTAACGTTTTGAGAGTCCATTTATTAGTTTGAAATAACTGAGAAGGGCTCCAAAGTATTGCTAATCAGCATATTAACTGTTTGCAAGGTGCATGAGCTTTACTTTGCTATAGTGGTCTGCTTACAGCATGGATTTTGTTTTCAATACATCCGAAACTCACAGACACAGTTCGTTCTTCAGGAACCAGGACAAACTGAGAAAGCAAATGGAAACCAAAAATCTCAGTGGTATGTCACAAAGAAATCTGAGCTGGAGTTTAAGCATGACTTAATAAATAATAATTTACTCAGGAGTTAGAACGAGGCTGGAAGATTAGCAGAACTTAGGCTAGACAGCCTATTTATGGGAAATGTCTCACAGTTATGCAGTTAAAATTTACCACACCTGGAAAGAAAATGAATAGAAGTAAAAGCTAGGGAGCTAAGAATGTATTTGGCCTGACATGAAGTAAGGATTGGTTAATAGGCAGAAAACAGAGAATTTGAATAAAGATGCCATAAGAATGACGGAGCAAACATGCTGCTGAGTATTTTTTAAATGGAGAGTGATAAGAAACAATGGATATCCAAAGGAAACTTAGTTGCCCTTGGTCATAAGTCACTGAAAGGTGGCATGCAAAGGCAAAGTTTTTAGTTAGGTTTGATGACAAAATGATTTGAATACAAGAGCAAAGAGATTTGTAATTGAATAGAACACTATCTAGGCCATAGCTGCAGTACTATGTGCCATTCTCAACACAATCCTGAAGGGAAAATAAAATGGCCATGGAGGGATTGCAGCAGAGGTACAACAGACAAATTCCTGGGATGCTGGGATTGTCCTCTCCAGGGAGTTTGAGGAGAGTCTTTGGAAAGTCGGTGCTGAGATGGTGGGCCATGCAACCTCTTTCTGGATTTTAGGGACTGTATAACGTGAAGCTTTTTCATCAGTCCTAGCTATAAAGTTAGTTATATTTGGACAGCCAGTAATAATTTTAGATACTTCTTCAGTTATTAGATGTCAGTCACTTATTATGGCAGTGTGAAAAAAAAAACACATACCAAGATGACCGATGAAACCATTATTAAATTGACAACAAAAACAGAAATTTATGGGAAAACTCGGCAGGTCTAGCATCATCTGTGGAGAGAAGCAGAGTTAATATTTCAGCTCCAGTGCTCTTTCTTCAGGAAAATTTGCAAACAAATACTTCAAAATGTTTCAATAGACATTACTCACATTTTAATTAATAACACTGTTCATTTGTTTCTTATCATCTTGGTTGTTTGATATATTATTATGAAGCTGCAAGAGACTGCAGACAAGGTCCAGCCTGTTTGGTTGACTTTGACGACCCTCCTGGCTTTGAATCCTTACTGACACAATGAATGTATATTGCTTACAAAGGAACATACAGTCAAAGTGGGTTTTTTTCATTACAGTTGCCTTTAACTCATTGTTTTCAATTCAGCTGTCAATAAACAGTGAAGCAATTTCTTACCATAGTCATCACTTGACAGCTAACACTTAAAGGCCTCTTTGCTTTACCTTTCCATTCAATGCTTGCTTTGTCAATTGACTATCTCAATAGGCATGAAAACAGCATGCTCATACACAGTCCATGCAGGAGACAGTATCCCTATTCTTTGTGCTCTTGAATTAATTGTTTTCATTGCAATACCAGAATGGTGCTTTCTGTTTCTTTTTCCACAAATTTTTCTCACTAGTCCAGCTCAATTTATACCAGAGGTTGTCATATTAACAAAATTTGGAAAACTTTCATTGTTGCAATTTTACTATTCTGTAGCCAGAACATCCAAGCCATCAAATGACATAATAAAGCAGAATGGTGGTTTATAATCTGTATGCAAAAGAAAAGATACACAGGAGGAAAAATAATTCAACACGTTAATCTATTTATTTATCCTTCTGTTATTAATAGAAGTACTAATTAAGCTTTCCAACTTTTTTTTTTCCAGCTAATTTATTGTCAATTGTGATTCTTCCCCGTGGAAATTGTGGTCTAACTAAATGTATTACCTATTACCTGGTCTCAATGGCAGCAGCAGATATCCTTGTCATAAACTTTGAAGTAATTTTGCATGAGATTAAAGACACCTATTTCCCAAAGTCATTTCTGGATTACACTTCTATTTGTCGTCTTACTTTTGTCTTCAGTTTTATTTCCATTGATTGCTCTGTCTGGCTAACAGTTGTTTTCAGCTTTGATCGGACTGTATCCATCTGTTGTCAAAAGTTGCGAGTCAAATACTGTACAGAGAAAACTGCAGCTCTGGTTATAGCCACTGTTTGTGGACTTTGTGTTGGACAAAATTTACCACTTTATTTTGTAAACCAACCTGGAAACATTATTGAAAACATGGCATGGTTCTGTGTTGTAAAGCCTGAGTTCTATGTTTTGCCCACTTGGCGGGCTTACTTGCATTTTCATACTATTTTAACCCCATTTTGTGCATTTTTCTTTATTTCACTATTCAATGCTTTGACAATCAGGCATATTGTAAGGAGCAGTTTGATAAGGAGACACTTCAGGAAAGATATTAAAGACCCAACAGTCAAAAATCGCAGAAAATCCATCATATTGCTGCTTTCCATTTCTGGAAGTTTTATCTTACTATGGATGCTAATTTCTTTCTGTCACATATCTGTACAATTTACAGAGAACCAGTTTTACCAGACTGATTATATTGATCCTTTCACAATTACGGAACACACAGGATACATGCTTCAACGTTTGAGTTCCTGCACCAACACATTTATTTATGCAATGGCGCAGACAAAGTTCAGAAACCAGTTAAAGAATGTGATTAAATGTCAAAGTTAGCAGAAGATACAAAAACAATAACTGCCTCCTCCTGCAGAATCACCTTCCAACAGAAGACCAAGCTAGCTACTCATCATTTGTGGATGAATACAGAAATAATTGTCTAGTTGTGATCTTTCATCGAAGAATCTCTGACGGAAGATCCTCGAACTGAAATATTAGCTTTGTTTTTCAACATTGACGTTGCTAAATATATGCTCAAATTTACAAGCTTTCTCGCCTTTCAATTTGTTTTTGGTTCAGATTTTGATTATTTGCAGTATATTCATTTTAGCAAGACTAATATTATCTGTTTCTCAATGAATTGTTGCTGCCCTTCCAGAAAAATACAGTCTTCATAGACCTACAACAGAGATGGCATGCATAATTAAAATGGCAGTATGAGATCAATGAGTGGATCCTGAATGGGAACATGTGAATTCGTTGACTTGGGTAGGAAGATGTCTTATTCTTCTAGCCCAATCCATAAATTCACATGTTACATGTTCAATAAATGAGAAGAGATTGGATACATCTGAGACACAGAGGTTTCTGCGTGGCCTCATGCATGAACATTAATGATTTTCAAAGCTTTTGTGACAGAATCTTCCAAACCATTACCACTAAAAGGACAAAGGCAGCAGATATATAGGGAAAGCAGCATCTGCAAGTTTCTCCGCAAGCTATTATCATCCTAACTGGGAAATACATTTCCATTACTTAGTGTCATTGGGGTAAATCCATGGAATTCCCTCAGCAATGGCACTGTGGGACTACCTACTGCATACTGTCTGCAGCTGTTCAAGAATGCAGGTAACCATTACCATCTCAAAGGCAACCAAGGACTGACAATAAGTACTGGCCCCACCAGGGTCACACAAATCCCCAAAACAAGCTTTAAAAAAGTAATGTTTAGGTGCAGGCGATATTTAGGAAATCTAGAGCCATATTAATAGTTATCACAATGACAATTGAAATCAAAGCGATATAGTTTTTGTTTCACGTATACAGGATTAAAGAACTTCCTTGTGTACTGTGCACAGGACAGTTCATTTTATTTCAGGAAGGATGTAAATTAGCTGGAGGCATTTTGATGATGGGTTATTAAACATCTGGAATAGGGTGGTTGTACTTTCATGAAACATTGTACAGTCTTTTGGAAGATTAAGGTGACAATTGATTGAAAAATGTAAGAACTTGAAGGGCCTTTCCTCTTATGGGAAATTCTAGATCTCGGGAGACACTTTAAAAATCATGTATCACATATTTAAAACTGAGATAAGACAATATTCTTTCTTTCAGAAGATTTTAGCTCTTTGTAAATCTGCTCCTGCAAAGGTACTTAAAACAGAACCCTTGAATGTTTCTCAAGGCGACGTTGGATATGTTGTTATTAGACAAGAGAGCGCAATTTTATCAGGACTAGGGAGAAATGTAAATCTGAGGTACAATCATATCAATTGTAATTTTATCAAATGGTACAGCAGGTTTGTGAGTCTGAATATATTAATCTTTTCCTAATTCTATGCATGTTTGCATTCTCTTCTCACATGTCAACAACGTCACCTCATTCCATTACCAAATATCAAACTAGTGAACTTTTACTGCATTCTTTGTCGGGGAATAAATTTTCCTTCTGAGGCAGATGGACGAAATATACTCAGCAAAATACTCAGCATTGGCCTCAGCAATGCTCCTCTAATTATAAACTTAACTTACAAATTCCAGTGGGTTGCAACACATGTTAAAATGTTATTTGACTTCCAATGTGCTGGTTCTGTTGCATATTAACTTTCTGTTTTATTCACAAACCCTCAGAGCACATCCAAACACAAGCCTTTCCCAGACCCCAAATATTCAAAACAAAACTATTTTTGCTGTTGATCTGGATAACCTCACTATTTACACTCTCGTTGACATTTCCTGACTAATCAGAAACCTATCTAAATCTAATGAAATGCGTTTGTGTCCTCAAGCTGGATTATTTGCCCACTTCATCTTGCATACTGCATGAATGTAAAAATGGCATCACCAAACCAGATCATTAAGGATTAATTGAGTATTGATGGAGAATCAAAAAATACGTGAGAACAGGCATTTTGCAAAAAGATAGACGTCAGGCCAGGCTGTTTTGCAGCGATACCTATACTTGTTTTTGACCACCAAGCACAGATGAATGCTTGAGAAAAGGAATCAGAGGACGCAATTCAGCACGGAAAACCAATTTCAGCATACTATTAATATCGGGGACTTCTCACAGCTCATTGGACTTCACCATTGGACTTGGATTCAGACTGGCACCGTGGAAGTTGAGGTCGAGGTCCAAGTGCTAGCCATTACTGAGGACAGCTAATCAGCAAGATGACGTGAACATCACACGTTCAAGTATATCTATGTACCTTAAACTAATAGCTTTGTGGAAATATGTCTAAAGTAGTATACTCTAATATTTTAAAACATGTTATGTAATCTAAGCTAATAAATTCAAATTATATCGCAGATCACGTGTCTTCTTGCATTCATTTTGATCATAACTGAAAGACCAGTTAAGGCACTTCAGCCTGTCATTACACTCCGCAACATAAAATAACGACTGGAACTTGAGACTGAGGCCACGTGTATATTACGCAGAGATGACAAAATTCACATTTATCTCTAATTTGGCAGCACAATCCAAGACTGAATTTGGAAACAGTATTTCAACAGGAATATCTTGATGGTTTGTGTTCATTGAACAGCAATGACCTCTAGGTTCCTTTATGCTCCAGAATTTGACCAACCTAATGGAGGCAATTCAAAACACTAGAGAAGTAACATAAGATGTACCTTCACATCATTCTCCAAAATCAAATGGCAAGGCATGCAATCCAACAACAACTTGCTATGTCCAAGCTAGCTTTAACGTTTTATCCACTCAAAAGCAGGCCCCTTGATAGGACGTGTAGTCCCTGGCTCTAGATTCCAGGACAAACTGCTCTCATTGGGAATCAATGCTAGCACGAGGCTCACAGGGTACTAAAAATGCCTAAACGTTGTCTTTAAAATATTCTTGAAGATATAAAACATATTTCTGCACGTATGGGATGTTTTAGCTTTTGGCTGACAAATATTTGAATGAATTGCTCCCTCTGGAAATGGTCGAGATTTCAAAAGATTTGTCGGAAATGTGCAGAGAATTCGGGGCGAAGTTGGTATGCAGGATTCTGTAAATAACTTCTCCATCCGACAGTTCAGGCAATAGTTGTAGCATTCAACATTGACCTTTTGCTTCATGTATCTTCATGCTTCTTTGCGCCTGGTGGTTTTCGATTGATACAGCAGAGCAGTTGAGCCAATGGCCTGTTCAGCAAGGCATGACAAACACTGTTTTGACTGTTACCCTTACTCTGTAAATTATAAGGGAGTGAACTGTTTTCTATTCAGAGGTTCAAGCGCATGAAATAATATCGCAGAGTAGAATTTACCATTGATACAAATTTTAATTATAATTCATGCATTAAATTTAGAGGTAATTATGGACAGCATTTCCCTAACATTCGCCCAATCATACAAGGTCACCGCATTGTATTTTAAAGGTGATTACTTGGTCTGACTGTGGTAACTTTGGACTTTAAATGATAACAGGTAACATTTTATGTTCGCATAGTGGTAGTAGCTCTACCTCTGAGACCGACCATCCAGGCTTAAATTACCATTTGCCATGAAAGTGCATCATGGTGTTAAATCTAAAGGATCCTTTAGCATGGCGGTCCTGTTCAGGTCACTGGTTCAGAAGTTTTGCATTGTACCTGCCACACCATTGACCTATTTTATGACTAAACACATTTAAAAAAACAATAATTCTAGTCATTTCACAAGCGTTACTATCTCATTGTTTTCGGTGGAAGAGAAAATTGAGCAAATTGTGAAAGTAGCTGAAATTGACTAAATCTAGTTTCACAATGCTACCAAGCAAAATAATTGAATGTGTATCCTCCTTACAGTTGGATGTATTGAAAGCCATTAAACAAAGAATTCCATGGATTTGAAGAGAACTTGAACTTTTTTTCCGCATCTCGATAGCTCAGGATAACAGGAAGCTGTCCTTCCTCACATCTGTGACACCTAATTGTGAAAGCCCAGCATAAATAGTGCTGCAGGTTGAAAATAAAATCTTTAAACTGGCACACTTCATTGAATCACCATTTTCTGGACAATCTGCTCAGTATAAGTAAGGCCCAGAAGCATCATGTTTGGATCAATGACATAAGATCTTAATGAATGGCCATAGATTCATTTAAATGGAAATGAGGGCTCCATAAGACTGCATTGAGAGTAACAATGTTTTTCTTTTGTCTTGAGTGCCACCATTTCCAATGCATGTTGAGCATCCCTACAGAAAATACTGCAGTCCAAGAAGCACCCCATTGATCAGTTTTCTTTCCAGTTCTGGAGATTTGAATAATTAAAGTAAAACTCTCCCTCATTGTTTTCAAATGACATCACAATATCTGTTGTGAATTCTCTGGCAATGTTGCACCCGCACTGTTTGTACGTAGGGAATTCATGATGTTGTTACATGTCTAGGTAGAAAGAGTCTGTGAATTAATATTAACAGATTGAATGAGGTCAATACCATAGTTTCTCTCGGATGTTGAAGTTTTATTCAACAAATTTTTTTTTCATGTTAAACTTTTCCAATGCTTGTAGATGTTATATACTGCTTTAACAATATGTTGATGACTAAGTGCACTTCGAAGCATATGATCCAAATTAGATTGGAGAAATATTTGGTCAGTTGACCCAGCCGCCGTTCGATATGATCATTTTGGATTTGGTCATGGCCTTAGATCCGTTTTCCTGATTCTCTTCCATAACTCTGGATGCCCCTGTCTAATAAAGTTGTTCAACTCAGCTTTATCTATCTCGTGCATTCATTTCCAGTGTCAACATTACTTTGCACACACTAAACTAAAACAAAGAATTGCGGATGCTGGAAATCTGAAACAAAAATAATAGAACTTGCTAGAGAAACTGACAGG